AAAGCGGACAATTTAGAAAATTAATTTTTTTCTTTTGGCAAATCTTTGTTATTTGGGCCCTTTTCATCAATTCTTGTAGTACTGGATTGCGGCTACAAGGTACTCTACTTACCATCTACACTAACAAATTTTGAAGGGAAATATGATCGGTTGAAAACGAGGTTTCAGAAAAAAAATTTTTTTTGCTTATCAATTCAGATTTGTGCCCGTTGATGATATGAGTATAGGGGGATGTGCGCTATATTGAGGAAGGTTTGGTGCCTCTACTGGTCTTTACCGCACTGAAAAATGTGGGTTTTCAGAAAGTTATAGCACGTCAAATTGAAAACTTGCAAAACGCGCATAACTTTTGCACCAACCTAATAGAAGCCAAGATATTTTGAGGTGCTTAGATTCTTAGGATTTCAAGTCAGGGTCTAGCGTATCGTCCATGACTCAGCACAATGGCTGCATGTCTAATGAATTCATAAATCACAGCTTCGTGTACGGAGCGGTAATGAAGCGTCGCGTTTGATGATCGAATACGCTTAGAAATCAACGTCACGACAAAGCTGACCGCCGTCGTCACGTCTGCTTGACGCTGCACGCCAATCACCGCTGAACTGATTGATGACGGTCGCTGTTTTTCTGTGCGAAAGGGTGATGTGAGACCAAATGGATGTTTTTTGATTAAGATTGAAAAATTTCTTGAAAATGATTGCCAGAGAACTTCTATAGCACTTGAAACAGTATGCGCTACCGTAGTGTTTGCACAGTAATTATAGTTTCACAGTAACCCTCAAATGTCGGGGTCTCTTTTATCATGAAATAGTGCATTCAGCGGTATGCACCAGCAATTGCGGGTTTTGTTTCGTGCTTTGTCGTGTAGTTGTCTGCAAAAATAAAGAGTGCGCAACGGAAAAATTAAAACGACTGGCAACAAGAATCCAAATTTTCATATTATGGCTCTGCAAATTAGCCTCCACCATATTCCAGTCTTGCTAAGACTTTGTTTTGCTGAGATTCACTGTATTGTTACCTTCCGCAGTTTGGTTCCTTCTTCGTCGTATAAGGTCGCGTAAGGTGTATGTGTTCACGCCTGAATGATTACGGTGGATCTATCGCCAACTGAGTGCGAGCCCCCAACGATAATGCGCGACTCATTCAGGGACAAAAGTACAAAAGTTAATCATAAGGGAGACAAGCTTTTTGAATTACAAAATGGGATTTTTGAATTGCAAGAAAAAAACCTGAAATTTTCTAAAATGTTTTGAACCACATACGATTTTTTGCTTTCTCCGCTTCACTGGTTCACTGTGAGCAACGTATACCACGGTCCACTTGCACCCACTTTACAGTACCGTGTGTGCAGTTTCTCACACTTATAAGCACTTACCCGACGGAAATGACCGTAATTATTCGCATACATGCTTGGTAGCCTATTAAGCATTGTGTAACACTGTAGCAGTGACCATTGCGCAACGGAAGTGCTCTATAGAGGATTACGTAGCGATGTAGAGCTGCGTAACACATTCTAGGGTCAACATTTGGACGAGTTCGGAAAACTCGTCCGGTGGCGGGGGGGGGGGGAGAGAAAGAGAAATCATTTTAAAATGCGTTTGAAGCCATTAGGAGGTAACGCCTTTGAAGGGTTATGGCTCTAGATCTCTATTACTCAATATCCGGCGTGTTGCGCTGCATACTACCCACATTTCCAGTCATTTGTAGAGATTCATCATCTCTTAATTTCCTCTTCTCCAATGCATTCTGCCACAAATTTATATTGTTGTTTTGCAGGCAACATTACTCACATTTCTTTTTCAGAGTGATCAGGAACAACGGCGAAATTTGAAGCACCACATCATCCAAATCTGCAAAGATGACGCTACGTGTTCTGCTGTGAGTTCCTCTGCTCAAGTTTTTTGGTTTCTGTCCATATGTCCTCATACTATGCCTACTCCCATAGGCGCACAAGTACGATGCGCGATCTTAGATTAACCTGTTTGCCGAGACATCTCCCTCGAGCGAGCGTGAACCGCAATAAAATGTATATCTCTACTGCAAATATGGGGATTAGGCATCTTGTCTACATTCTGGGGACAGTAGCAGTCGTCATTGGATCGGTTTGGAGAATAGCAGATTTACAGAACTCAACGCACTGTTGTTAGTGCTTTTGACTCGCCACTATTTTTCCACTCCTTCGTCTAATTATGTAGTTGCCATTAGAGTCGTTACTGCGGTCGGTACGCTTCGTTGCGCATTCCTACGTTATAAGGAGTGCGCACGGGGAATCAGAAACCTGTGAACCATAGAAATCCGTACAATGGATGGAACAAGGAGTAAATTACTTTCATGTGAGGGTGACGGGAGAGGGCGGTTCAAATGCTATTTTTGTTCCAAAAACACACGCGCAAACAGAACTTTCTTCGGATTTTTTGCTCTTGCTTTTGTTGAAGTCCCAGGTCATGCGTGCGCGGTTATCAACATCTATCTGTCTATCGCTATGGATGCAATGCTTTTTCTACCGATATTTGCGAACTATGGGAAAGCGGCGCTTTATCTACGCGCGCGCTGCTTAACAACCATATGGCGCTGCCGCATTTATCAATGGGTCGCATTTCTAGATCTCTTCCGCGGACGGCAGACTGGCGAGCGCATTGAGAGTGAATCTATCATGACGAGATATTCTAGGCTTGAAAAAAATTATGCTGGGCGAGAAATGTCAAAACAAGACAGAATCTGTTATAAGCGGCTTTAAGAAGGAACAATGCGGAGTGGGGGGGGGAGTGCTAGTGTAGATGGAAAATTAGAAGGGAAATGAAACAACCTCTAGCAAAAGAGCTGTGCATATAGAGTCTGTCATAAGCAACACTCAGTAAACTTTATGAGGATATTCGATTACTGTGAGATTACTGTAGACCCAATATGGGAAGTTTCTGTGTAAATTCAGTTACCCAATACTTTTCAAGGTTGTACTTGCATCTGAAAAACATCTTAGATTTACGGGAATGAATTGATAATGCAGTTAGAAAACTGAGATCAAAATTTCAGCGGCTCACCGCAAATGCAGTGCACGAAAAATATTGACCTTCACGCGGACGTTAATTGAGTTCACCAGAATTCAAAACTAAGCCTCTTCTGCTTTCTGCCTCAGAAAGTAGAACTGAAACGTTACATTATGCTTTTTCGCTGTGGTCAAAGACATATGACGCTCACCAGTTGCACCCTGAACATCTGCGATGGCGCGAGTTCCCATACGGACCGCAGGACTTCAAATTGCTTCACTTAGCGAATAAGCGATTAGTGAACTGTTTACATGTGGTAGTAAACGATTTTACTAGCGGTGGTAAGCACTACGCAGACATCAAGCGCGTTTGAGCTGCCGCCGTAGCAACCAGATGTGAACTGCGCGTATATCAGTTTGCACAAAGAGAAGAAAAACTGGCTTGAGACATATTTCACAAGCGTTTGCTTTGGCTGTCAGGACTAACAACACTGGGGGTTCTTCAAGTGCAAAACATTATTCGGGAGGGCAGCGGACTCTCCCTTTCGTTGCTTCTTTTTCGGTTTACGGTCAGTGTACGGTAACCTAGAGTCCTGGCCTAATTCAGTCGAGTGTATGTGATTTGATAGCTATGCAGTAGCTTTCATAATGACTTTGTCTCAGAATCGTTTTCATCTCGCTGATGTCGCACAAGCACGCAAGCTGTTAGGCAATTTTCTCATAAAAGATCAAAGCAAGCCGGCGTTGTCATATGACAGAGGCACATAGTTACTGGTAAAGCGATTTCTATGGGTTTTGATGCCATGTGTCGCGTAAAAAGAGCAGGAGAACAGAAAGTGTGGGATTGGATGGGGCGGAGGTAATAGAATGATAATCGTTTAGGGTAAAGTATCGCACTCACTGTTACATATCCTATCGTTATATGTAGCGAAATGCGCCCGCTAAACTTCCTGAATTATCCTTAGGCGTACTCTAGCAACGCCATGCTGGATAATCGTGGCTCAAGCTGTTTGCTTGTCCTATAACGAACAGCACCAATCCATCTGTACGTCGAGAGCAGATGATGATGAGAGTATCAATTCTTGATGGCGACTAAAAGCCACTTGACCGCTTTGCGACTCTAAAGCCATCGAGATAGTCACTAAGCATGTTTAATCCAGTCGTGCAGCTGTAGGAATTGTGTTGGAGCGGATTTGGGTTTTGGTAAGGTTTGGGTAAGGGCAACATCAAGAAAGGGCTTACATTCACGTTACAGCTTGTTCGTGAATTGCTAGTATTTGTGCTAAGCTAAGTGCTTTTGCCCAAATCTTTTCATCTTCTAGGCTGCCACTAAGCTTTTTCTCTCCTGCGGTAATTCCCAGAAAATTTTCAATATTTGCGGTCATACTTGCACCTCGATCCACACTTGACTTGTTTTCGCTGACGCTGCTAAAGTGGTTTAGGCCTGGGCGGTTGTCTATGACCGCATAATGCTTACGCTCGAAGCCTTCTCATCCACAATTAACAATTACCATAGCTAAACGCCACCTAATGAAAATCACTACTCCCAATGGGCTGGAAGCCGATGAGAATGACTTGAGAAGGAGCATAAACAAACTCGAAGGCAGAGAGGAAAGGGAGGTGAAAGAAGTGGCCATTGATGCAAAATTGAGATTTTTGAAAACTTTGAAATGCAAAGTGGTCTACAAAGATGTTACTTCGAAACAGGGGCTTGCTCAGAGTCATTCCTCCCCCCCCCCCCCCCCTCCCCACCTCTCCTTCGCCCTGTTTTTCATCTTTAGACCACAAATCCACGCTGTGAACAAATACTTTTAGTGCACGGAACCATGTCGAGAAACGTTCTCCGATGCTAACTCATGCAAGAATAGCGCTTGCAAGGTAACTTCCTTTTCCTTCTATTTCTTAATATGAATACTCACGGACAGCAATATGTCTTACGATATTGTGACGTACTATTGGCTCCTAGCAAAAAAGTCTGAGTGTAAGAATGAAATCTATAATTTACAGGACACAACAGATGGAAGTGCCTGTGAAAAATCTTGCGATTACCTCCAGCATATCTACACTGAAAAACTTGGAGCTTGTCCGAAAATCAAAAACCAATCCAATTATGTAAGTCTACAAACAGTCTTGAATCTTGTTCCTCATTAATCCTTACTTTACAGGAATGTACTGCGCTCTGTCACCTGGGTGGAGATTGTCCTGAAACCGAAAAGTGCTGTTCCTATAGCTGCAGCAGGCAGTGTGTCCTGCCGAAAGGGAGAGATCGCGCCCAGGGCCCGGCACGAGTCGGTTTCTAGGGTTTTTAAAAACGAAGTCTCCCCTGACTTTCGGTAGTTTTACGAAGTCCCCTTTGACCTACCTGCTTAGAAGAAGATGGAAACAAGAAAGATTTACTAGTATGAAGGAAAAAACGTGAGATAAGAAAGAAAATCCAAGTTGGAGCTGATTACTATGCATGCACAAGAGTTTGCTATTGGAGCGCGATATCTAACAAAGCGATTCATGAAGAAATCAAGGCAAAAACGAAGGAGAGGCAATGATATGAAAATGTCTTTATGCTCAGGGATAGATTTTTGATCGGGGAATCCGTCCATGCTAAAAGTATCCGAAACTTATGTGAAGTGACAGAAATATATGCTCCAGACGATCTCAGATCGTCTGGTGGCCGTCTGGAGACGATCTAATTTTAGAAAAGGTATTACTTCACATAAGTTTTCAAAACTTTTTACATAGGTCTTCCTTAAATAATATTTTACTTATATGGTACAAATTTGGTGTTAAAAGTTTATGTTTACGCTCTAAACAAGCAAATTGTTTACTTTAGCTTTGCTTTCAAATCGCGCGCACTTTTCGCCATACACGATAGAGCATGTCAATCGTGTGATAACCTGCCCAAAAAGCTTGTGTTGGACTAAATGGCGCTTATTCTTGGTGCTTGGCCCCCGACTCGTCAAAAACGATATCTCCTTTGCTTTTTGCTCCAAAAACGAAGTCCAGCCTGCTTGCAGACGATCTGTGCCGCGCCCTGATCGCGCCACACTTACGACACATGAAAAGCGAAGTCTTGACGAGGAAGAAGAGGCGTGGGGAATCGACGGACGGTACGTTTCATTCCCTTTTATTTCTCTAGTGTTTGTAGGATTTGTTAGAGTATAATATTGCTTGCAGGGATAGGCATTCTGTAATTGTGCCAAGCCACACTACTCAGTCGGAACTGTCAGGACTGTTTCCGAACTCCGTCTATATCGTTGAGGTGATTTCCATGTTTTTTTGGTAACGCGCTGCGCGATGGCGCGTTTGTAAAAAATCAATAGACTGTCTATTATCACAGAATTATTCGCCTAATTTTATAAAAGCCCTATTATCTTCAGATCCACGCTTCCGTTGACTCCAGCGAAGGTGAACTTCACGGGGAGAAAGGCATTATTTTTGTTAGGACGTTGAATGCCACTACATCAGAAATCGTTCAGGACCCACCTATCGGTCTGTCACAATCCCCAATTCATAACAACCGAGCTTAGTCATGCTTATTTTAGATCAAACCGGCTTTGATTTGGCAGTGCCGACAACTCCTGACGAGGACGAAGACGAGACCACTGACGACAATGTGGATATACAAACGCCGTACTTTGATGGAGAGCTTCGAGTTAGTTTTCGTTATCAAGTCCTTTAATTCTATAATTACATACGATTTATTTGTGCTAGAAGAATGTTACTTTGAGTATCCTTAACTTTCATTTATGAACTTTTCCGAAGCGCTACTATTATTCCGTTCAGACGTCCGTTAACTGGATCAACTCTCGAGCCTGCTCACCGGAAAAGAAAACATTCGTAGTCAAAGCAAAGCGTGGTACTTGTCGAGCGTATCAGTTGAATCAACATGTGGACACACCGTGAGTACTTTAGAATCTAATTGGTTGATATTCAACTCATCAAAGAATTAATTACAGGGTACAAGAACTACTAGTTAATGAGTGCTCTGCTGCAATAGGTGGCCTGACGTTTGACTGCGATTATACGCTGGAAATTGCCGAGAAAGAGAATGAGAAGGTGAGCATTAAAGAGTTTACTTTGAAGGTAAAAACCAGCAAGTTAAACAGTTGCTTTTATGATAATGCAAAAAAAAACTTTTTTCTTGGGTTCGACAGCAACAGGGTTACGGTAATATCCGCATTTGAGAATTTTTGTCTCCATAAAATGTCTAATGTCTAATAGTCTATTGGACTAGTTAGATCATTTGCTTGACATACCTTTACATCCAAAACGTTTCAGCTTATGCGAAATTTCTCATTCAGACTGTGATCAGCACCTCCTTTTCAACGAAATCCTGTGATGTCACGCCCGCTCAAGGAGCTTTGCCATGTCTCTCCTTAGCCACTCCGCTTTTCTGCATAGTTCATGCTACCGTATCCTGCCACTGGGTACGAGATCAAGGAACAAATGCAGATACCGTAATTGGGTACAGGGCTGCACTATCGTCACCTGTTGGTGATGACACGAATATAACAATTCTACCTCCACAAACGAGAGAGGTAAAATATACATTCCATTTGTTAAGCAAGCAATTATATACCGTATTTTCAGGTGCATTATGAGAACTTGGTACCATCTACGATGTATACTCTGCAAATTCAACCTATAAACCGGGGTATGGGAAAGGCATTATCGACCAATTTCGTGACGCATTCCAAGATTCTCGACGAAAACGTTATCGAACGGTTCCCTGGTGGGGAAATTATCGAATTACCCCTGGAAGCCTCAGCTATGTCACTGCCACTCTTTTCCACCTTTATACTGTTCTTTTCACTTATTGTGCTGTTGTGAGCAATCCCAACACCCAAATAGCCTAAATATGATTGTGATAATCAAATTTTCAAGAATAAGCATACAGCATCTTATCATCGCCTCACCTCAGTCATCCGGGTGCCCCTGGCCAGAGTCTGCCCATCTTAAATGTTTATATTTGATTTTCTCGCCTAGGATAGAGTTGTTACGGGTATTTGTTAAGTTTGTATATAAATACGCATTGAAATGTGATATATAAGAATAAATTTATCGGTATCGTTGAATTCATTGATAGTGGAATAGTCTCATCGATCTGTATTTCAATAATTCATGGCTAGCGCAAGTTTGAAATTTTATTGTTTCGCAAAGTGCCGACATAATTTTACGTTGCCAACGACCTCATCACTGTAATCACCAACGTTAATGGCTGATAAACGGATAGTGTGAATAGTCTTGAAGGGCTACGGTACTCGCATGGGAAAAGTTCACCACCCGCTTGACTTTTATTGTTACGCAATTTTAGCTACCCTTGCAGAAGCACTCTATTGTGTGGGAGCAAATACCCGGAAATGTTTGATTATGGCTACCGGTTAAGTTTGGTAGGTAAGAGTTTAGGTGGCTCATTGTGTTGAGTGAGGTGTCCCGCTGAGTTGGCTCCAACTCGAGCTCCGCTCGGCCACGATTCACGCACATTAGCATACATCATTTGAGAAGCAGTGGTGTGCAGTTAGTTAGCAAGAACTTCCGAGAGACCGGGTTGAGTGCGTACTTCTTACGTCCGCAGAGGGATGGGAAGGTACATAATTGCATACTGGTGAAGAGAAGTTGAGGCACTGAATAACAGAAATCCTCTCGACGGAATTTTTTGAAACTCATGAAACCCCATCTACTCTATTGGGATTCTATTGCAGTGGGACACCTATTAGCCACAATTCCAGAATTGGGGTCTTAGCGAGGAACGGCAGAGTTCAGATGCGAGGTCTGTGCGCATAAACAAAATGTCTTTGTTCCAAGAGCATTGCGTTTATAATCATGAAAGGGCCGCGATCGTGGTTAGCCTCAAGGAGCATCGTGTTTAAGAAGATTATCGCTCCATTAGCAACATCAGACATAATTACAGATCTGACATGTGAAACTGCATACTAAGAGCAAAGATTAGTTGGACCTACATTAAGAGTACTTTTTCTCGCACGTCGGGCAAGAAGTTACTGTAAAAACCACTCCGCTGACGAAGCGTTGATTGTTTTATGGCACGCAAGTTTGCGTAGGGTCACGCTTGGCGGCAAGTGTGTGCGGACGCGTGGCGGCGCGTCTGCTTTGATCAACCGGCTTCGAAGATAGATGTGCTCAGAAGTATGATTGACTTTACTTAGGTGCTGTAATGTGTCCTCCTACCTTGTGTTCACTTAGAAGTGTTCTTTTTTGACGCGCGTTATGACTTCCGGCATTTCCGCAAGAGGAACCGAATCATGACAGCACTGCTTACAAAGAATTAGCAAGAGATCTCCATCAGCACACAAATTTGCAGCAGCTTGTTTGTCTTCTTCCCACAGTTTTCCCCAGCAGGTTCACACTCATTCAGTCCCGCTACCATCCCAAAAACTCTGTAATCATATGCATGAGTGCTAACGTACGCACTAGGCACGAATTAACAATGATGAATACCGTACTGTAGGAGCAGCGCTTAAAAGGGAAAAAAGCTCTAAATCCTCTCAAACTAGCAGGTTTTAGATCACTTGACCTTGGCCATCGCATGGGTTATGTAGACGACCAAAGGCGAAAGTTGTGGGGAGGATTATAAAAACACGAGAGCTTGAACTACAATTTTGTTGTTCAAAATATACTAAAAATTCGGATATGGGCACCGATAGAGCAAGTTACTCTCAGGTTAGCAACACAACACAAATATTCGTGTGAACTTCGTTTAGGCGTTATCCATGTTTTTTCAATAAATTGAAAAAACAAATAATAGCGGTTTTTTCATGTTTTAGAGAAGTTCCAAAAAGTTTGTCTGCCTGTCTGACACTCTCGTTCGGGGGACGGAACTTAGGAACCCGAACCTAATGGGGGACGGAACTTAGGAACCCGAGCCTAATTAGCTCGATTCGGGGAGTGCCTGCAGGTTACAGTCATGCTCGCTGGCTCTGATTACTCACTAGGACGAAGCAACAATCTAAGCCCCGCCCCCTTGAAAGCCTGTTTGGAACCTAGCCAAGGAATGCTGAAAATCTCAATTGAATTTCAGGGCTGGCTCTAAGCCAAAAACCTTCAAAGTCATCGTACGAAGGTGAAATTAGGCTCAAACGAAAGAGAAAAACCGTGCCATCATCGTAAAGCAGCTACTGAATTGAACTGATTGAATACAACATTTTCTTGGTTCAAAACTTTATTCAAGTTTTAAATTACTGAGAAATTATTCAAAAAACCGTCAAGTTTCAGAAAAAATTTATTTGAGTGCTAAATCCGGGCAAAAGACTAGAATATCATTCGAGAAATGACAGTTCAAAAACTCTTAAGATTGGTAGTTATTTAAATGCTGAAATTTAGGCGAAAGACTAGAAAATCAATTGCGAAACGACAGTTTATAAAATTCACAAAAATAAAAGTTTGTTTGTGTGCGGAAGTCTGGGCAAAAGACTAGAATATCAAGAAATGAAAATCAAGAACTTCTCAGAAGTAATAGTTTTTTTGAGTGCTGAATTTCGAGCAAAACACATCAAGAAATGCCACTCAGTAGTTAAAACTACCACAATTGCCTGAAAATAAAGATTTACAAATTTTTTGAGCCGTGCTCATCAAAAAATAATGTTGTTATGCTCGGTTAAGTGTTGAGGTCGTTGCTTCCAGCATAATAGCAGGATGTTCTTCGCACATCAGAATCGTCTGTCGTTGACAGACACAGCAGTATCATTAGTGAAGTTCTTGATTTTTCATTTCTTGATATTCTAGTCTTTTGCCCAGATTTCCGCACACAAAGAAACTTTTATTTTTGAGAATTCTATAAACTGTCGTTTCGCAATTGATTTTCTAGTCTTTCGCCTAAATTTCAGCATTTCAGCAAATAACTATCAATCTTGAGAAGCTTTTAAACTCATTTCTCTAACGTTATTCTAGTTTTTTGCTCGGATTTAGCACTCAAATAATTTTTTTGAAAAACTTGACAGTTTTTTGAATTATTTCTCAGTAATTTAACACTTGAATAAAGTTTTGAACCAAGAAAATGTTGTGTTCAATCAGTTCAATTCAGTAGCTGCTTTACGATGATGGCACGGTTTTTCTCTTTCGTTTGAGCCTAATTTCACCTTCGTACGATGACTTTGAAGGTTTTTGGCTTAGAGCCAGCCCTGAAATTCAATTGAGATTTTCAGCATTCCTTGGCTAGGTTCCAAACAAGCTCTCAAGGGGGCGGGGCTTAGATTGTTGCTATGTCCTAGTGGGTAATCGGAGCCAGCGAACATGACTGTAACCTGCAGGCACTCCCCGAATCGAGCTAATTAGGCTCGGGTTCCTAAGTTCCGTCCCCCATTGGGTTCGGGTTCCTAAGTTACCGCACCCCTCTCGTTCGCATACTATCTTTACTCTTTTCATGCAGGTTCCGTTACTATGCTTTACGCCAAATTTTTGCAATTTTCACACTATAATGCAATCAAAATACGAAAATGGCATTTCCTCAAAAAACCATAGTTCTAGGAAAAAATACGTTACACTGTTGTATACTGGCGTTCCCATAGCGCGAAAATCCCGGACTAAATCGCCGGAAGCTTTTTTAATCCCTTTGAAAGCACACGGCAATAATGGCCAGTTCCATGTGCCCTTGCATCCACGCCACGCCATACTACCCTTCCACATACGCCGTAATTATTCCACAACAATCGTTTTTTACGGAATTGCAATCGACCGGAAATCCCGATTTATCGCCCTTAGTGGGGCACTCCTATATCAGAGACGGCATGTTGACTGATGCATTTTGACTGCTGGCCTTATGGCCAGTTTCAAAAGCTTTAACATCTTTGGAACGTTGCCAGTATTGAAGATCTTTCCGACACAAAGATTTCTCATTCCGAGTAAGCTGAGAAAACCACTATTATTAGAAAAATTATTCGAAACGCGCATTGGTGACCTTCACCGAGTTCTCACAATCCCATTTCGTCCCCTAATGAGCTAGGAAAATTGCTGGGAATCTCTTCCTTGCACAAGACCTTTGCTCACCAAGGGGTACGTGTATTATTGGGATCTCACGGATTCTTTGGACAATAGTCTAATTAAATCATCCGTGAGCCACTTGATTCTGGATGGAGCTCAGGATCCTAAAACCATTCATAACTGTCAGAACAACTGTCACCATCTCAGAAACCGCAAACCCATTATTTTGTGTAAAATAAGCAGGCATTACATACCAGCTGTTCGCTGTCTACCTAAATGTTAGTTTAGGATAGCCACAGTGGGTGTAGCAATAGTGACGCTTGTTACATATGTCCAGCCCTACCTGAACAGGTGTCTGAACTTCCTTGCCCTTACGACCTCCCATATATCCTTCGTGCAAAAATGCTGTGACTAATGTAAACATCGCCAGCGGCTTCGAGAATCTACAAATAAAAAAGTGCAGGCCATTAGGTGATGGGTGCGAGGCAGATAGTGATCTTCCACAAACATTAGCCAGAAAGTTTACGAAAAAAAGATCGGGTAGTTTGGTTGATGAGGGTGAATAAAGGTCACCTAAGGGAAGGACGAACATGCAGGCCTGGCTAGTACCACATCTTTTAAAAACCTTAATTGTCTTCTTCACTTTTCATCTTTCATCGAATATTTGGCCTTCGTTTTCCCATACCGGAAACGAGGCAGATGCGTGCTTATGGCTTACGTATGTTTACCGTATCATGGGATTAATTACGCTATCAAACGCCTGCAATCTCTGCAATATTTGACTTCCGAGCTTCACACCACCAGCTGGTTGTGGTCCCCTCTGCGCCGGTCGCAAGCTCATCTCTGCTTGTTCTAGTCCAGCTGTTCTATCCCTCTTCAGTTCGCAATTTCGTCGC